TGGGTCATCAAATATTGCTAACAAACAACAAAGTTGTAATTCAACCACAATGAATCTAAGACTTGATGTTTCTTCAAGCGTTAGATTGGGTTTCACAACTTTGTGATATAGGACATAAACCTATTCCAGTCAAAGCAAATATGATGGAATGTCTTGGCATTGCTTTTGTAAGGCAATCCGCCAAATTCATTTTCGTAGGAACATAGTCAAGACTTATGACTCCATTATTGATAAGCTCTTTCACTAGGCTATGCCTTAGTGAAATATGCCGAGACTTACCATTATACACTTGACTATATGCCTTTATCAAAGCCGAATTCGAATCACAATGGATTGCCACCGGTGACATTGGCTTAGACAATAAAGGTAACTCTAACATGAGATTTCTCTACCACTCAGCTTCCTTACTAGCTGAGGCAAGAGCTATAAATTTTGCTTTCATAGTGGAATCGGCAATGCAAGTTTGTTTCTTGGAAGACCATGAAATGGCACTTCCCCCAAACATAAACACCTAACCACTTACAGAAGAGTCATCCTCTTTGTAAGTGATCCAACTTGCATCCAAATATCCTTCTAAAACCGAAGGAAATCCACTATAAGACAAACCATAGTCCAACGTACCTTTAAGGTACCGCAAGACCCTCCGAACTGCAAACCAATGCTGTGCACCCGGGTTACTAGTAAATCTACTAAGTTTTCCCACAGCCAATGCGATATCTGGTCTTGTACTTGTCATGGCATACATCAAGGATCCAATTATCCTTTAATACTCCAATTGGGAAACCGTTTTCCCCGAATTCTTAACCAATTTTACATTGGGTTCCATGGGGGTGTTCACAGGACACCTATCAAACATATTGAACCGTTTGATCATTTTCTCAATGTAATGAGATTGACTTAACATAAGCCTTCCATTGTCCCTAATTATCTTGATGCCCAAAATGACATCCGCCTCCCCCAAATCCTTCATCTGAAAAGACGAGGATAAGAATTCCTTGGTCAATTCTACTTGTTGTAGACTTGTACCAAAAATAAGAATATCATCAACATATAGACAAATGATGACACCATGACCTATGTCATCAAATTTGCTATAAATACACTTATCATCTTGATTCACCTTGAATCCAAAAGACAAAATCGTGTCATCAAATTTCTGATGCCACTGCTTTGGTGCTTGTTTAAGTCCATACAATAACTTAACCAAATTTACACACCTTATTTTCTTGTCCTTCCAAAACAAACCCTTCAGGTTGTTTCATATACACTTCTTCCTCTAGATCTCCATAAAGGAATGCCGTTTTGACATCCATTTGATGAATTACTAGATTATATACCGAAGCCATTGCAATCAATAACCTTATTGAGGTGATTCTTGCAACCGGTGCATAGGTGTCAAAATAATCAACACCATACTTTTGCCTAAAGCCTTGGATAACCAATCTGGCTTTAAATTTCACTATGGAGCCATCTGGTCTCCTTTTCCTAGTGAAAATCCACTTGCAACCAAGAGGTTTGCAATCGGGAGGTAAATCCTCTAAGACCCAAGTGTCATTTCCCATGATGGAGTCCATCTCATCATTTATAGCTTCTTTCCAAAATGTACTATCTTGAGAAGATATGGTCTCGCTATAAGTTTTTGGGTATCCACATTAAAACAATATGGAGTAGTGGAACTAAGGACATCCCTAGATCCTTCAACCAAATATATTATGAAGTCATCTAGAGGATTCCTAATTTTCCTTTGTCTTTTACTTCTCCTAACATGAGGAGTCTCATCCTCATTATTAGATGAACCTTCATGAGAAACATGTTGATCATCATAATCAACAATTTCCTTTCCTTTGGTACTTATTTGTAGATCCTTAGGTCTACTCATTGATGAAAATTGATTTTCATCAAATATTGCATCTCGACTCAATTATCGAATGTTTCGAAATAAAGTCACTTTGTTCTATAACATAGAACCTATAGGTTTTGCTATGCTCAGCATAACCTATAAAAATGCATTCCAAGCCCCTTTCACCGAGATTTCTCTTTTTGTTGTCGGGCACTCTTACAACTGCCCTACAACCCCAAACCTTGAGATACTTCAAGTTTGGTTTCCTTTTGTACCAAAGTTCATATGGAGTGGAATCCTTTCCTTAGTGGGAACACGGTTAAGTATGTGACAAGCCGTCAACATAGCTTCACCCCAAAACCCTTCACTCAAACCGGAGTAAGATAGCATGGAATTAACCATTTCTTGAAGAGTTCTGTTCTTCCTTTCAACTACACCATTTGATTGTGGTGCATAACCAGCTGTAGTCTCATGAATAATACCCAAAGATTGGAAATAAGCAGGATCATAATACTCTCCTCCCTTGTCAGTTCTCAATTTCTTAATAAAAGATTCTACTTGCACTTGTACCTCTTTCTTATAAATATCAAATTTAACCAAGGCTTTATCTTTGGAATATAAAAGATACACATAGCAAAATCTTGAAAAATCATCAATAAACGTAACTATGTATCTTTTATTTCCCAAAGAAGGTGTACTATAAAAGTCACACAAATCACTATGAACCAATTCTAAGATCTTAGAACATCTCTCAAATTTCTTGAAAGGAGTTCTAAGGATCTTATTAAGCATGCAAGTAGTACATTTATCAAGAGCAATATCACAAGGAGGAATCAATTCTAGTTTAGACATGAAAGACAACTTATTGTAATTCACATGACCTAATCTAGAATGCCATAAAGAAAACAAATTCATACCATTGTCATTACCAACATTAAAACAAACATCATCCAACATTACAGACTTCTCTCTTAATGAGAGTTTAAACAAACCATGAGACAAATAACAACGTCCAATAAAAGTGCTACCCTTAGTTATAATACATCTATCTGCTTCAAAAACTAGTCTAAATCCAAGTCTATTCAGGGTTGGGCCTGATACAAGATTTCTAGAAATACTAGGAGCATATAATACATCCCTAAGGATGATACTATTGCCCGAACTAAACATCAGCTCAACTTGTCCTCTTCCTTGGACCATGATGGTAAAGTTGTTTCCCATAAAGAGCTCTTCTCCATCATCAACCTTGTGAAAGGTTTTGAACCAATGCTTCACCTTGCATACATGCCTTGAAGCCCCCGAATCCATCCACCATGAGTAATCATCCTGCACCATAAAAATGTTAGGATCCGTTGCATTTAAATCCATACCGGAATTAAATTCAACCTCATGTAATAAATTACCTTTGGTGGGTTGGTCATTGCTCTTAGAAGCTTGACCATCCTTGGATTTCTCCATTTTCTTCTTGAAAATGTAGCAGTCCTTCTTGCGGTGTCCAATTTTACCGCACTCCCAACAAGCATACTTGTTGTTGTCCTTTTGTTTCTTGGATTTGCCCTTAGAGGAATTAAACTTCTTCCTCTTAACACTAGTTGAAGCACTAGATTTCCCTTGCTCCACCACATTAATGGTGGAAGAGCTAGGATTTCCATCCTTAGCCTTCTCCATGGCCCTTATCCCTTCTTCAATTTGAAGATGGGTAGCCAAATTGGACAAAGATATGTCCTCCTTTTTGTTTTTTAAGTCATGCTTAACATCCTTCCAACTATTGGGCAGCTTATCAATAATACTCGAAACAACAAAACAATTCATCAACATTGATACCATGTTGTTTCAAGTTACTATAAATACGTTGTATCTCATGAAACTGGTCCATAATTGATCTACCATCAACAAATTTAAAGACATTAAAGTTACTTACAAGAAATTTCTTGCTTGAGGCATCCTCCGCCATGTATTTACTCTCCAGTGATTCCCATAGCTCCTTAGCAGACTCGACATGTTGATACACATCGAACAAATCATCCTCCATCCCATTGAGAATATGACCCCGACATATAAAGTCATCATTATCCCACTTAGATTTCTCACGCACATCCTCTATTGTTTCATTCTCATGTTCTACCGGTCTAGGAGTGCTAATCACATAGGAAACCTTCAACGATGTAAGAAGAAAATACATCTTCTTCTTCCATCGTCGAAATTCCACGCCGTCAAACTTCTTAAGTTTGACAAAGTTTGTGGTAAGTTCTTTCACACTAGACATGTTGTTCAAACAATTATCACTTTAGATTGTTAGGGTTTACAATGATTCTACACAACAAGAATCAAATAAAATTGGTGGAACAAACCCTAGATGTGTATTAATTTCAATGAAATATACAACACCAAATACTTCAAGTAGTATTACAAACCAAGCACTAAATTAACAAAATAATCTAGAAATTACAACAAAATAACACTAATGTGAAAGTTTCTTAAACTTGCCTCACTCCAAGCCGAACACCACCAAGAACATGAGAAATTCAATGACCACGTGAGTCTTCTTTACCAGATACTTGTCTAAGGTGTGTATACACTTTCCTAAAGTGATAATTTCCCCCACCATGGTGCTTGGGTTGTGACCGGAAACTCACTTTGAGATGCAATAGACAACACCACACACTTAGCACAAAGATGTGTGATAAGATGGTTAAATTATCAACCTATAAACTTAGATGATAGAATATTAATGAAGAGTTTGCAAGATTCTTCAATAATAGTGTAGAGAAGAGAGAGTTTTTGGAGAGGAAGATAATGTTCTGTTCTATCGAAAACAACAAGGCCCCGAAACAATATAAAGAAAATAACCGCAAAACCGTAGACGAGGGAGGAGGCGCGGGCGCACACGAAGAGGAGCGGGCGCGCCACCTTCGTGCGCGGGCCTTCCTCCCTGTTTTGCCAAATTTCCAACTTTTTCCAGAATAGCACGCGGTTTAGGCGCGGTCTGGAGCGCGGGCGCGCCGCCTAAAATAGTCAGAATTTTCCAGTAGGGTACGCGGTTTAGGCGCGCCTACTGCTCGGCCGCGCGTTTCACTGCCCGGACGCTCTTCATGGTTCACGAACGCGCAACCATCAAACACTCTAAATTTCTAACAATATTGCCCAAGTGTCGTTTCCTATGTGGTCTTTGTTTTACGACGCTGGTCGCAGACATGGGATATGTACAACAAACTTCTCTGAGACATTTAACAATGTTTTGAAAGGTGCTCGGTTCATGCCAGTTATGTCCCTTGTTGAGTTAACTTTCCACAGAGTTAACAGGTACTTCACCTTAAGAAGAGAATCTGCTGAGTCCAGGGCAGAACAGGGACTTGCATATCCCCCAAAGGTAACTGCTATTTTGGAGAAGAACACAACAAAAGCAAGATACCACAGGGTGGATGCCTATAACCGTCGGCCGCACATTTACCAAGTGACGACACATAGGGGGGAGCGAGTTGGTAGAAAGGGAGGCCATAGACACACTGTTAACTTCCAATTGAGAACCTGTACATGCAACAAACCCCTAATATTCCACATTCCATGCTCTCATGTTCTAGCAGTGTGTGCGACTTATTCACTGTCAGAGAGGCCGTGGGTGGACCCTTTCCTGCAATCGGATGCCTAAATGAACACGTATGCACCACAGTTATGGCCTATTCCATGTCAGACCACTTGGACGCAGTACACAGGACCTAGACTCATCCCGGACGGCAGCATGGTAAGAGGAAAAGGTCGGCCAAGTCAAAGCGCATAGGCAATGAAATGGATGAGACTAGCCGACCTAGGACTAAATGCAGCTGCTGTCACCAACAAGGTCACAACCGCAAGACGTGCCTAGCTAGATCAACCGAAACATAAGCTTGTATTTGTTTTTAGCTATAGTAGTAGAACAGTAGATTCATGTAGTAGATGATTGTTGACGTTATGTAACATTTGTAACGCTTGGATCATGTCTATGTTATATTTCAGATTTGGTGACCTTTTTTTGACTTTTCCTTTTACCTGTGTTTGTCATGTCAATTTCATAATATAGTAATTCTGTTTTGTTAATTGGTTTGGCCATATTGTTTTAAAAGAACAGATATCATGGCCGGACACGATCAGATATCAGGACCACTTAACCCTTCTGTCCTTACACTGCAGGATAGTCATCGGAGTGCTGAAATATGGGAGCAGACGGTAATTTCTCACGTACCATTTCGTGTACAGATTTTTCTTGTTTTGATGTATTCTCCAGCATTATTTACGGTTTTTAAATGAATTACCAGGGGGACATAGCGGAAATGTTGGGGTGCAAGCACTTGAGGTCCGGCTGGGCAGTCCATCTACGCGTTCTTCAGTACGTCGACTGGGCTGGCTTCGGTGGTATTCATCACGTGGGCTACAGAGAAATAGATTGAGGGCTTAGAACTGCATTAGTTGAGAGATGGAGACAAGAGACACACTCCTTCCATCTTCCTGTGGGGGAGGCGACTGTCACGCTGCGGGACGTCGCGATACTGACACGCCTTCCCATACATGGGAATGCGGTGACAGGGGGTGTGGTGGTTGACCCCGCAGGTTTAGTAGGTCGGGTTCTAGGGGTTCAGCCAGAGCCAAACGAGATTAGGGGCAGCGCGCTGAGGATCGGTTGGCTACGCGACACTTTTTGTGTCCTACCTCAGCACGCTGACGACGCCACAGTGTAGAGATACGCGCGAGCTTACTTGTTCCTGCTCATCTCGGGCTTGCTCTTTGGAAACAAGAGCGGAAGCCATCTTCAGATTATTTACCTGCAGCTATTAGACCACGACTGGGATGAGATCCGTGGATACAGTTGGGGTAGTGCTTGTTTGGCAGTCTTGTATCGCCATCTGTGTAGAGCATCACAGCGTGGAGCACAGCTGATCGGAGGTCCTTTGGTTGTGCTACAGGTAAACGTCATCATTATCCTTAAGCCTAGTTTGATAATGACTTGACGTTATTTATACTTTACCTCTTTATTATATTTTTTAAACAGCTATGGGCTTGGGAGCACATCCATGTAGGGAGACCAGGTAGGCCTGTTGTACACCGTCCGAGGCAGCTGGACCAGGACGATCAGTACGCAGCGTACGATGCTCCCCCGCTCCCTGAACCCGATCAGGCATACGGTTGTAGGTTCGTAACATTACACTTGTGTTGCCTCATTTTGTTATAATTAGCTAGTACAACTTCTTAAATAATTTGTTGCCATAGGTGGGTGGTTCCCAAACTGACACATGCGCATACAGCGAGAGGTCTTCTCTACTACCGTGACGCCCTCTACCGACTCACGGATGAACAGGTGGAATCTTGCAATAAATTTGTAATCTTTTGTTTACTCTTTATACTGTTTATTGGCATTGCCCTAACCTATTTACGATATTTCCTTATTGCAGATGACATGGGATCCCTATTTTGTTGTGTTGGTAGAGGCCATGCCGGAACACTTGCTCGAGCATCGTGCTGAGTGGCTTGCCAGGACTCCCATGATCTGTTTCGAGGTCGTGGAGAGCCACCTACCGGACCGAGTGTTGCGACAGTTCGGACTTCACCAGCCTATCCCCATGGCCTGTGACACTAGTATCCGTCTCCACGGCATTGACCGTCGGGGAAAGTTGGGGACAAACTGGGCACAGGAGCATCATCAATTCGTTGAGCTTTGGGACCAGTGGTTGGAGTCCGTCGTTGACGGTCACCTGTTTCAGGGTGTTATGGATCCGCGTGATCCTTACATGGTATGGTACAGGCAGATTACACGCCTTTTCATCAACCCTACCTACACGCCACCATCCACGCACTACCATCCAGCTTATGATGTTATCAGCGGACTTGTGAGTTTATTTCATTTTCTTGTTTTCCAAAATTATTTGAAATTCTATATCATATTACTAAGTCATGGATGATTACTGCAGGCGGGGGATATGGGTGCGATGGTTGATGCACTTTCAGATGCCTTAGCAGCTGTACCCGCTAGAGCCCAAGTCGAGCGGGTGCGAGATATGGGCATACATAGCTTGCAGAGATATGGCCATGGCCATCTCGTCCACCCCAGGGACGATCATGACCCCAACTCCTTCCATTCACAGTTCGACTTCGGACAGAGCTGTGGTGCAGGTGGTTACCATTTACAGTTCGACTTTGGACACAGCAGTGGTGGAGGTGATACTTCGGGCTCTACACAGGCAGAGGATTGCTTCATCCATAACACCGCTCCCGACCATACCCAGGATGACTCATCGTCTAGCCAGCTGACTCCACCGTCCTGAGACCCATTCACCACCATTCGGCATTACAGCAGGCGTCCGAGGCGTGTTCGTAGACGGACGGAGGACACACAGGATGGAGATCAGTTAACTCCAATACATGAGTCCGGATAATATTAGTTAGTTGATGTTTTTGTGGTACTCAGATATCTAACAATGTAGTATATAACGCTTACATTATTAATACAAGAAATGTTTTTTAAATGACTCTCTGTACAATTTGAAGTTTATTTCCCTTATTTGTCCGAATTTGAATTTTGTCAGTAAAGCTAGATCTTTCATCGCCGTTATATATATCAAACAGTATATATTTGGTCAGCTGCACTTAAAGTGCTGTTTCACGATAGTTGTAGTGCTGTTGGGGTTGTTTTTCAGTGTTTGATGGTTGTCGGTGGTGGTCAAGTTTGGTGGAAAGGTTGGGACTGGTGGTGGGAATGCTTTTGCATTGTTTAGAGTGTTTTGGATTGCATAGGGGTGGTCGAGAGTGGCGGCCGGTGGTGGTGGGGGAGGTGGTTGATGGTGGTGGGGGTGGTGGTTGATGGTGGGGCCGAGGCTGCTGGATGAGGGTGATGTGTAGGGGCAGCAGCAGATGGCAGGAACAGCAGCAGATGGCAGAAACAGGAGCTGGCTGCTGGTGATGCAGTCCAGCAGAAAAACGCTGCCTGAGGCAGCGTTTTATGGTCACATACATACAATACGTGTATTCCAGTACTTTTTTTCCAAAATACATACCAACAAGTCAACTACCATAAAACGCTTTATGTCTTGAATTTTTTTAACAAAAATTCTGGGTGTAAAACGCTGTCCGAGACAACGTTTCACCCCAAAAGCTTAGTTTGGGAAATACTTTCGCCATGAGACCAATTTGGTAATTACTTTGCCATTAAAGCTCACTTTGGTAAAAAAAATCCCTTTTTTACATTACTCCGTACTTCATACGACACTAAAAAAAGAAAAAAAAAAGCACTTTATATTTTATTTATAGCATCCAAATTTACTACCACTGTTGGTATGGAACTATTTCTTTATAAATCAGGAATTCAGGATACATCTCATGAAATAGCACATTCGTGTCTTTAGAGTTTAGACCTTTAGTTTAACAAATTACATTAATCGTATTATTTTTTAGTCAAATATTATAAACAAATTTTTAAAAGTCAACTGATCAAATTTATCCAATCTTATCCTGCCATATACACCCTTCACAAGCGCTGCCACATGTCACAATCTCAGCTACTATGTCCTAAAATTTCCCCCATTAATTAATTAATTAATTAATTAAATTAATAAAACACCTATGATTAATTAAAAAATTCCTCATCTTTAAAAAATTAAAACCAAGATAAGACACATTCTTAGTTTCAATCAAACAAATTACTCCAAAAATTAAAAAAAAACCGCAAATTCCATTTCCCCTGTTTACTCCCTACACCATTTCCAGAAATCGAGGAGAGAGAAATCGGAGAAGAAGGGTTAGGAAAAAGCTTGAATTGCAATACAAAAATGGCGGATTCATCAAAAATCCCCCAAATTGATGAAACCCTAACTTTAATTCCAACCCTTCCAAACGATCTCTCTGCTTTAATCCTTTCTTTCATACCATACCCTTTTCATGGCCGATTGAAATCAATTTGTAAATCATGGCGTAATTTCTACTCATCAAAAACCCCAATTTCTCTCCGCCATAATCATCTTCCTCTTTCTTCACTCTCTCACCTCCTCTGTCTTTTTCCAGAAGACCCTTCTCTCTCTTCCCCTTATCTCTTTGACCCGACCCATTTAGCTTGGGCCCAACTTCCTCCCATGCCCATTAACCCGCATGTTTACTCGCTCTCTAACTTTGCTTCTCTTGCGATTGGGCCGAATTTGTATGTTTTGGGCGGGTCACTGTTTGATACCCGGTCTTTCCCGATTGATCGGCCCATTGCTTCTGCGTCTGTTTTCCGGTTCGATTTGGCGGTTGGGATGTGGGTCCCACTCGCACCCATGATCACCCCACGTGGGTCTCTTGCGGCGGCGGCGGTGGCGCGTGGGAGGATTGTGGTGGCGGGAGGTGGGTCAAGGCATGCGATGTTCGGGGCATCCGGGTCTCGGGTCGGGTTTGCTGAGGTGTATGATGTTGAGAGGGATGAGTGGGCCCCGCTTGCTGACCTTCCCGGGTCACGGGCCGGGTGTGTTGGGTTTAGTGTGGGTGGTGGGAGGGAGTTTTGGGTGATGGGTGGGTACGGCGAGGCGAGGACGATTAATGGTGTTTTGCCGGTGGATGAGTATTATAAGGATGTGGTGGTGTTGGAATTGGAAAATGGTGGTGGTGGATTGGAGCCAGGGGCGGGGCGGTGGAGGGAGGTTGGAAATATGTGGGGGGATGAGGAGAGAGCTAGGCTTGGAAAGGTTGTAGTGATTGATGATGAGGAGGAAGGAGGTAAGAAATTGCCTAGGGTGTTTATGCTTGATGGGGATGACATTTTCAGGTGACATTTTATCATCTTTATTTCAAAGTTTTAATTTTATTTATTTGGTTGTAGTTTTTAAATGTGATTATTTGATTACATTATTGATTTAAGTGTACATCAATTACTGATATGATTGATATATGATTTAATGCTACTTGTATCATGTGTGTGTTAACTATGTTTAGTGTATTAGAGTGTTGGAGTGTGCTAATGCTTTGTTTGAAGGATTATATTAAGTAATTGCTTTATTCTTTTGTTAGTTTGAGTCTTTAGAATGTTTGAAGGACTAGAGTATAGGATAGTGTTGCGCGTGCCTTTGGCTAGCTTTAGATACTGGGTTGGTTGCAAGGAAAGATACTGCCAAGAAATTGATTTCGTTAGAATGTTTTGTCAAGTTTTAGGTTAAGGCATAATCCTCTTATCAATTGTCAAGCAATATAAATACGATGCAATGCCAGGAAGTCTACCGGCTCTAGATTTCTAGCTTTAGCTTAAATAGACTCCGCAGCATTAGGTAAACATTCCTAATACGACTTTAATTTGCACTCCGTAAGTGAGGTTATCTAGACATACCAAATGTCCAAATGTAAGATATGTTTCCTAATATGATTAATATGTTATTGTGGTCTCGATTGGTTATGTAGAGTAAATTAGCCATCCTTTTGGATTCTTGTAGATAAGAATAGTATAATACTCATTTTGAGTAGCTTTATTTGTTATATTGCTGATTCCTTGCTGCTAGGAGCGTCTTGAATCAAATTGAATTGGTGTGCTTGGTCTTTTCGTCGATGCTGTGCCTAATGTGAAGTGTGCTAAATCTGCTAATGCTTTGTTTGGAGCATTATATTAAGTAATTGCTTTATTCTCTTGTTTGTTGGAGTCTTTAGAATGTCTGAAGGACTATGAGTATAGAATAGTGTTGCGCCTGCCTTTGGCCATTTATAGATGTTAAGTTGGTTGCTTGAAAGATCTCGACTAGAAGTTGATTTTGTTAGAATGTTTTATCAAGTTTTAGGGTAAGGCAATATAATTACGATGCAATGCTAGGAAATCTACCTGCCTTAGGCTTCTAGCTTAAACCTAAATCGACTCCACAGCATTAGGTTAACATATCTAACACAACTCTAATTTATACTCCTTATGCAAAGCTATCTGGTATACCAAATGTAAGATGTAATTCCTAATATGTTTGGATTATTAATGTGTTATTGTTGGCACGGTTGGTTATGTAGAGTGAATTAACCATCCTTTTGTATTCTTGTAGGTAAGAATAGTAGATTACCCATTTTGAGTAGTTTTATCTGTCATATTGTTAATTCCTTGCTGCTATGAGCGTCTTGAATCAAATTGAATTGGTGTGCTTGGTCTTTTTGTCGATGTTGTGCCTAATGTGAAGTATCCTACATGAAATTTTAGTTTAACTTGTTGGGAATGGAGTGTGTTGCTGTGAATGTTTAAGTTAAATCAATTAGATGATAGCTGTCTTGTTTTATGTATATTGTATACTTAGAACTCTAGAAGTTTGTTTTGGAGTGTCGCTTTGTCAGATTAGGGAGGACTTAGAGGAGTGAGATTGACAGAGAAGAAGGCTTTTCCTGATTTGTTGTAATATTTTTTATGGTGATTATGTGATTGCATTGTAATTTAGGATTGTGAATGGATCAGTTGTTTGTGTTTAGAGTAATAATACTAATCCGTTTGGATTAGGATTAGGATAGGGGAATGACAACATGTGTCAAAACTTAAATATTTCTGTAAATAAAACTTGGGAGTGAAATATTTTGGGAGAGATTAGTTGAGCTTACATTTGTATGGTTTCTTACACTGATGTTAGTGATGTCATGTTTTAACTGTGCAGTAAGACTGTGCAACTGTAACTGCATTGTATTGAGGATTATTAAGCAAATGCTCTTTTTCTGTTGTTGACTGGAGTCGTAGAATATTTGAAGCATTATGAATATCTAGTTGTGGTGCACAAATATGCGTGTGTTTGGCCACCAGTGAAGGTTGTTTAGAAGGAAAGAGTCTGTGAAAATTTGATTTATAGGAATGTTTGCATTGTTATTGTGGGAACCTTTGGTTATGTAGATTAAATTAGCCATCTTTTAACCAAATTACTTGTTTTGAGTAGCTCTATCCGCTATATGTTGCGTATATTATGAGTATCTTAAATTAAGTTAAGTGAGGTGTGTACTTGTTCTTTTTAATTATGCCATGACTTTTTTATAGTTTCTCACATGAAATCTTAATAGATTCTTATCAATAATGAAAATCGGCTGCCAATAAGTTCAAACTTTGACATATCAAAAAGTGTTGTGATAATCAGCAGAAAGCTGTCAAGAAGTCTGATCTGTATTCTTGGATTAGAGATGAGTCTAATTTTGACATAGAAAAGGTTTTGCTCATTATTTGTATCTGCATTTATTTATTTATTTATTTATTTATTTAATTTTTTTTTTTTTTTTGGTGAAGTACAGAATTCAAGAAGTCTGTTTTGGGGCTCAGTTTCTTTATTGTTCAGATATATCTCTTTAAACTTTTGAAGTGCTTCTACTATTGCTAGTGCAAATTACATATATGATGATGCTTGCTAGTGTTGCAATGTGCATTTTATGCACTATTGAAGTTGGTGACGCATTAAAATGATATTGCTCAAGGCTTTTCTTGTGATATTTTAAACAATGCAAAATCATGATTTTTATGCCAGTTATGCTGTCAAATTTGAGTGCAAAGCTTCTAGTTTAGGCTATTTACATGATTTTATCTAAATGTAGAATCTTTCTGTGTCTTTATTGTTATCATGAACTTCTTTGAATTTATTTCCATTTATGATATTGATGTCAAATCATTACTCCTCGTAGCATGCATTTTCTGGTATGTTCTTTGGTAGATTTCTGGTATAGATTATTCATCTGCCTAAAAAAAATCCGCAGAAACATACTTTGTGATAAACTGATTATTGTGTCCTGGACCCCTGGTATACTTATATGACCTTATGGCTTATGGCTTATGGCTTATGGCATGGTATTCCATGGTTTCTTAAGATGACAGAATAGGTTCTACTTTAATTTGTGCAGTGTTTTCCTTAAATGAACTTCTAATGCTTTGAATAAAATGTGGGTGTATGTTTTGCATTTTGAGGTGTGTTTGGGGATTTGGTAGAGGTTTGGACACAAAGTTGGTGTATAAGCCTTTGCCTTGTAACTTAGCAAACGTCACCCCCTCCTGTACATCCCATGTTTGTGAATACCTTTTCAGCAAGTTACGGAGCCTTAGAAGCTAGAAAGCAGAAGCCTAGAGAAGGATTTTTTTAATTTTATTTTTTCTTTTCTTAAAACAGTTGGTGCCTCTTTTGTCCTGTCTCTTCAGTTGTATTCTGAACCTTTTCTGGTGTAGAGTAATACTTCTAACTGAGAAGGGCAAAAATGCTGGACATGGGATGCTACAAATAACTGGCAATTATGGCACAGAACAGTAACTATTTGTTTATCCTTTTCAAAAAAATTTAATTTGTTGACATTCATTTTTGTCAAGTATGATCAAACATTTTCATGATTTACAGGAAGATGTTACTATGGAGTATATCAGTATATGTTTGTGTGTGACATGAATGCTTATTTAAATCTCCTTGTGTGATTCCATTTTGTACTTGAAAATGTTATAGATATAACATGGCATCAAATCGGTGGTTAAAAGAATCAACTGTTCCAAGAAAAACTCAGGATGGATCACCATTTGGCTTCATTGCTCTTCGAGGAGAGCTCCATGTGATCTCCCTCCTCCAGGGAGTTGAATTGTCAGCAATCCGAAGATCAAGGCATCGCAGAAGGGGCACTATCCTGTTCATGCAAATTTACGACCCCAGAAAAATGTCATGGAGATCTCTCATAACCAGGACACCTTTCCAATTTCCGCTAGATTTCAAAACTGCAGTTATGTGCACAGTTCGTGTGTAGTATACATTTACTTTTTTAAATTGAATATGGTTGACAGTATAGTCAACAAGCAAATCCATTTCTATGTACAGTATATATAGTTCACTGATTTATATAACTTTGTACCATTAGTGTGTTGATTAGTTCATACATGTCATTGTACAGTTTCATGAGATATTGGAAAATAATATTCTTAAAACAATATATTATGTGTTAGCCTTTTAGAATATTTAAATTAGAATATTGTTTTAAAAGGCAGATTAAAATGCGAAACTTTTTCATGCTCGATTGGTACATACTGCTTGCTTGAAATTACTCTAGTTCATTGCGTATATTTCATCTTTCACCATCGTCTACCTTGATTACTCATCTCTGTATAAAAAAAAAATTCGGAGATGGTTTTCACGCAAGTTAGGCTCCAATTTATTTCTTTTTTGTGTTAGGATTAATAAATGTGACAACTAGATTAAAAATAATAATGTGACAATTAGATTTGAAAAACAGATTTAGTAAAATTGTAAGTTAATATTATTGCCTTTTGTTTTGAATCATCAAAATTAGGTGAAATTAATTTTGTTCTCTATCCTTTTATCCAAAAAAAAAATAATAATAATAAAAAAAATGGAAAAAAAAATCTGATCTCTATTGAAAAATAAACAGTAAAAGAAGCAACACATAAAAACTTTATTAACAACATAGGGGAATTGAAGAAACTACAACACTTGATGATGGAGCATGTACCATGTAGGGCACATTACCATAAACAACACAAGGGATACCCAATCCATCTCTTACTACCGTATATGGCGGAGCTTGTATCCTCGAAAATGGACTACGGGGCGCATAACAGAACATAGGAGCGTTAGGAAGATACATTGTATTATGATGACGCATATGAACAGCCTCTTGAATATTAGTAGCATCTTGATGATTTCTTTGAGATGGAGATATGCCGTAGAGTATCCCCTCAAATTTTGTGTAGTTTTGAAAATTTTCGAAGCGAGAGTTGGAACGATCCCATTCGAAGAACTTGCTTAGAAGTTGTGACGTTGCTAAGCTATCCGATCCAGCGTGATGACGCTTTCCAAGCAATTTGAACCCTACCATTTGTGTCACTTTCCCTAATCCTAACACATCTTCGGTCAAAGGACCCAAGTAATTCTCATAATGCTTAACCATTGCTTTTAGATCATAAAACTTTCCAAAAACTCTCTTAACTAGTTCAAGAAACTGCTCTTTCGTGCTTGGTATCGACAACTCGAGCACGCTACTAATCAAGAACGCTAAGTCGTACATACCGTGAAATGTAACCCACTTGATTTTTCCATGGAACGTTTCTACTATGTTACGAAAACCAACTTTGAATTTGTGAAATATACTAGTGGTTTCACCCTTAACGTAAGTACGAGGATCACATAGATTGAACTGCCAACAACCACCTATCTTCCCTTCATCATCACATAGACTTAATCCGACTTGAAACAATTTACAATTTCCGGTGTTGTATTTCATATCTTCGTATCTCACCAATTCGGTTGCACCTCGTGGTGTAACACATACAAACGGGGTGAAACCCGTATCGATGCACACATTGTTGTATGATGCTAATAAATCAGTTAGACGCTTCATTTCTTCATCGTAATTATCTAAACGTACTTGAATGATTGATAATGACGAATCCATAGCTTCAATTCTTCTCTCTTGACTCTTGTCTCGCTCTATTTGTTTTTGTGTTTTTGGATGAATTTGTATTCTCTTTGTTTCAGTGTAATGATGCCGTATATGGTATATTTATGCTGCGATATGCCGGTGCTAGTGACACTTGACGTGCGGTTAAAGTCAGGAAATAATCAAATCAAGATTTTAATTTTTGGAAATGAAATCAAATTAAGATATTATTTCCCTATATTATGGGATTATATTCGATTCTAACGGTGTATTCTAACCGTGTATTTGTGATGGGCTAAGGAAGTTTTCCTTTTTTTTTTTTTTTTTTTTTGTTTCCTAAAATAATAACTAGGCTCCCTCTCATTATTTTACAGTACCTTTTTCCTTTTTAAATCAATAATTTATTAATTTTACAATATATCTTGTTGTACACATTAAATATTATATCAAGTTTCCACAATTAGTTATATTTACGATATGATTTTTACCACGAATAAGAAGAAATTGTTACGGTTTGATAATTTAATAGCTCAATCCATCCATTACTTTTCCAATTAGTTCCTCAAATAGCATGTACTATACTACTCTATATTCATAAACGTACCTATGTTTAATTTATAGAACTTAATATTTTTCATTTGGAAAATGATAAACATAGCCTAAGGACTATGAATAAGGAGCCAAAAGTGGTAATATTTGATAAAATCAAGCATTTATTACATTGATTAGCGCGTGATTTTGTCATGAATTCACAAATTATTTCCATTTTAGGAAGTATAATAAAGTCTTAAATATAACCCTAAGGGCTATATATAACATTACCCTTTTCATTTTTGTCCACTTTTTTCACTTTATTCCGGTTTATTTGCAAACCTTATTTACTGTCTTACTCCTCATTTCCTACAATTTTAATTTGCATGTTTTCGTTGACTCTTTTTTTACTTTTATCTACTCCTTTTTCTTACAAAAAGTGAAACACCTACCTTTTTACACTATTTCTCTTATTTTATCCATCTTTTTGTTACACCAACTTAACATATCAAAACTCTTTTTTCAATTGCCTTAATAGTTAATATACTTGCAAATAGTAAATGTTACAGTAATAAGAACTTTAATTTGAAAACGAATGAAAATAGTATATATAAGAAAACTCATATTCATGTGTAATGTAAAATATTAATTATGCACAAAAATAATAGATTATAAAATTAAAAAGAAAAAGGGCGCACTGGAAATTTATTAACACAACAATAATAATAGATTATATTTTATTTAGAAATCACGTACATACCCATACAGCAACAATACATACAATTACACATACTTTTTTTTAACACAAAATGGAACCATATATTAGATCACATAATCAGAGTACAAGGAAGCAAAGGATAAGCTCCCAACTTCAAGCTTATCTTCCCAAGTTTTACAAAAGCTAAGTAGTACATAAAAGCGAAAAGTAAAACAAAAGACCAGTTCACAAAAGATTGTTGCAGGATAGCTTGTTGATCAAACCAGAAAGAGGATGCTATCTGAAAACAAATTAACCACCATATCCGGAATTTCTGAGGCATAAGTATCGAAGAGCTCTGCAGGAGGGTAATGGAAGAGAGCTGGTTCCCCCTGGGTACTTGTAGTTCTGCCCATGGTAGCCAATTTATCTGCAACACAGTTCACACTCCTGTTAACATGGAAGATAGTCACCTTCCAAGATCGCTGAAGCATAGAGGTGACATCCTTGATAATATTACGAAGATCATGATCCTTGAAAGTATCCGGATCTTCTAACAAAGCAGCTGCATCTGTTTCTAGTTCCAGAAGTTTAACATCTCTTCCCCAAGCAATAATTAATCCCTGTTTGATAGCCAGAAGCTCAGCAGCAGCAGGAGAAAGAGCATTGAACTTCATGGCATATCCCACCTGCCAAAGACCTTTGTCGCACCTCAAGACACCACCTCCACCAGCATTATCAAGGGCCATCCAAGAGCCATCAGTGTTAAGTTTGAAATGACCTTTATGAGGTGGAGCCCACTTCCTAGATATAGAAGTGGAAGAAGAAACCGCTCCAGCATTTCCCTGCTTTAGATCAAGAGAGTAATGGTAATCCACCCAAAATTTATTGAAAGTGAAATTTATAAACAGCATTTTTTTTCTCAGAGATAGCCATGTTCCTAGTAATCCATAACATGCATATATATAGATAGATATACAGTGAGATAGATAAAGGATATGATTTGCATGCCGCTATAATATATAGACAGCTAGCTTGGGATTTGCAACAGATTAATAAGTACAGGTGAGATCTGAACAACAGCTTCCATCACTTCTGAATGGGCTACAAGCTTCACCTTCCAGCCTGCATTTTCTTTTGCAAACACCATTATTTAAGCGAGAGCCACGACCATCTTCAACCATGTCGCGGCCATGGCCGCCACTAACACCACCTTTAAAATATATATATATATATATATATAGTAGGTTGATATGTGAATTAAATAATAATTAAAAAATTTGTGTGTGATGTTAAAACAACAATTAACCTAGGTCCTAGTTTTACGACAGTGGACCGATGGGGAATGGCAGAATTCATTACGTCCCACAAATAAGATAAGATTTTTTAAAAAAAGAAGTTTAATTGTTTAGGTTATTGTTTAAGATAAGATTTTTTTTTAAATAATTGGTTAGGTTATTGTTTTAACATCATACAAAATAACATTGATTTACGACAATGGAGTGATGGACTGATGGGAAATGGGCAAATGTCCTATAATTCACTACGTACGGCCCACAAATAAGAAAAGAAGTCAAATTTGTTAATATAAAGAGGTTGCCAAAAATGGAGATATATACATGTGATTTATGCTTGATATATCAAATTTGTTGACAATGACTTGAACCCAGATATGTGTCACTGTGTGAGTAATTAGAGAAAGAGAAGATGTCTATGATACTCTATTGTTATTACCATAACAGTGTTGGAGGTCTGAATAAGTACTTGTGTAAATCTTTTCACGGAGTATATTCTAATTTGAAACTACCATAGTGACCGTGCGATGTACGGTTTATAAATCAAATTATAAACTAGGTTAGGTCCCGTATCATGCACGTACGTTATTTTAATTACTATTGACAAATTAATTTATTTATAGCATAAAATATAAAAATTGTTTAATATCTTGAACAAAATTAAAGTAACATGGAATATTCGATCAAGATCATATTCTTAAAAAATATTCCACCAAAAATACATCTTCTTGAAAAAGATTACGTATTTCCTTATTATTCCGTAATTAATTGAATATCAACATAAAAATGGTAAATATTATTGCTCATTTATATAGTTGACATAAAAACAAACTTTTTTTTTTAAATAACTTCCTTAAATAAAATTTAGTAATTAATTTTAAAAAAATATATACTAAGAACACACGACACGTGTCATTGCTGGTGTGTCTTTTAGTATATAGTTATTAATTGATTATTAATTTCGTAGGAAAAAAAAAAGATAATTCAATTAGTGATAAAGGGTTAATTTACTA